CTGAAAGGCTTGCCCCTCTGAGGTCCTTATTCCTCCTCCCGTCTCCAGAGGTGGGCAGCCAAGGCCCGAGCAGCTGTTGCATATGTGGTACAGCAGCCTCACCAGGCCCTGGACAAGCACAGAGTTGAGCTACAGCCCACCAGGCTGGGTTGTGGGATTGAGCAGCTGTGTGGGGCTTGTGGAGACAGACAGCTGCCCTGGGTTTTACTGGATAAATGAGTGATTTAGAAGCAGCACAATTGGAAGTCTTCATGGAAATTGTAGGCATAATATTCCACTCTGTGTGTGTGTGCGTGCGTGCATGTGCATGTATGTGTGCATGCACATGTGCATGTGCATGCTTATCCTGGGGCTTGGCCTCAGGGATTCACACTCTTGCTTAGCTTTCTCATTCAAGGATGGCTTTAGGCACATCACCACTTCTGGCTTTTTGCTGGTTAATTGGAGATGAGAGTCTCATGGACTTTCCTGTGTAGGCTAGCAGGAACATGATCCTCAAATCTCAGTCTCCTGAGTAGCTAGGAATAAAGACATGAGCCCCAGCACCTGACATACATATACTTTTAAAAAAAGCTTTGCTGTATTTGGTTGCTTGATGTTGCAAAATCATCATTATGTTGTGTTGCACCTGGAGGAAACTGGCTATGAATTGGTTTCCTGGGAATCTACAATAAAAAGATATGCTGTTTTTGTTTTTTGTTTTTTGTCGGTCGTGGGGCCTGAACTCTGGGCCTGGGTGCTGCCCCTCAGCACTTCAGCTCATAGCTAGCGCTCTACCACTTGAGCCACAGTGCCATTTCCTGACTTTTTCTGCTTAGATAGTGCTGAGGAATAGAATCCAGGGCCTCATGCATGCAAGGCAAGCACTCTACCGCTGAGCCACTTCCCAGCCTAAGATATGCTGTTTTTTATAAAAAAGGCTTTGATATAGCTGGGCTCTAGTGGCTCATGCCTGTAATCCTAGCTACTCAGGAGGCTGAGATCTGAGGATCGTGCTTCAAAGCCAGCCTGGGCTGGAAAGTCTAAGACAAAGCTGAAAGTGGAGCTCAAGTGTTACAGTGCTAGCCTTGAGCGAAAAAGCTCAAGGACAGTGCCCAGGTCCTGAGTTCAAGCCCAGGAGCAGTATACACATACGCACACGCACACACAGTTTAAGCCAGGATCTGGTGGCTCATGCTTGTGTTACTAGCCACTCAGGAGGCTGTGATCTGAGGATTATGGTTCAAAGCCAGCTGGGGCAGGATAATCCATGAGACTCTTAGCCCCAGGTAACTACTAAAAAGCCAGAAGTAGAGCTGTGGCTAAAGGGGTAGAGCACTAGCCTTGAGCAAAAAAGTTCAGGGACAGCATCCACGTCCTGAGTTCAAACCCCAGCACAGTGTTTAAGTACAGGTGTCTCCCCTCACCCCTTCCCAGGACTAACTGCAGTGAAAGGCGCAGTGTGTAGTCTTCGGAGCCTTTATGTGTGTCTGTAGTTAAACATGGACAAAGGGAAGCTTTTTGAACGCTGTTCTTTGCAATCTATGGTTCTGCTTTTTAGATTCTCCCTGAGGGCTGCTCGTGGCCTGGTGGCAATGAGATTCTGGCTGAGTCTCTTCCACAGGCCCTGGTGCAGGCCCTGCCTGGGGACATCAGGCTAGGGCACCGCCACATCGCACCTGCATGCCCAGGGGCACCTGTCCCAGGACACACCCCGCACCTGTGTAGGAGGCGCCTTCGCCCTCATCCTTTCCGCTCTTCCCAATCCCTTACCCCTGTGCACCACCAGGCACCCTCAGCTCTTACTGATTCTGTCCTGCCACATTTCTGTGGCTCATGGAATGACTGGTATGGGGACACAGACAAGCAAGCCTTGTCCCCCTCCCACGTGTGCCGTGCTGCCCCTCCCTGACAGAGAGAACCACTGAGGGATGGGTGGTCCACCTCAGATCATGGCAGGGTGAGAGCCATGGCCCAGGCCAAGGGTGTTCCACGTATGAAACCGGAAGTGTATTTGACTCCCTGCGCTAGTAGGGAGCAATGGGTTCATGGTCTGGCTGCCACCCAGCCCGTCAGAGGGGGCAAGGAGCTGGAGGAGCCTGTGACTTGTGAGGGCTTTACCTTTTTCCCATGGAGAACCATGGGAGCCATGTTCCCAGCAAACCGCCCCGAAAGCAGGCCTCCCTCCCGGACGGCAGTGCCGAGCTTTGGACCAGACTGCCTTAGAGGCGCTCAGCAGCCAGCAGTGGGAGACTGGGAGCCCAGGCAGCCACCGGAAGTTCTTCAGGGGACACACAGCTCTCATCCAGAGTAGCTGTCAGGGAACACTGGGTGGAAAGATTTTGTTTTGTGAACGTCAGCCTGAGCTGTGAGCCCAGAGGTCCGTGTGCGGCACTAGTGGGGATGGGGTTGGTGGAATAGAGGGAACCGCAGACAGGGCTGGTGCCTGAAGTGCACACGCCCCTGCTGTCCAGCCACCGTGTCCTGCCTCTGGTTCTTGCTTCTGTAGCATTCTGTGTTCTTGGCCTGCATGCCACCATGGGCTTGACCTCCGTATTCAGGTGTCCCTTATCCTCCCCGGCTGAGTACATGGGGCATGCCAGAACTGCTCGGGGATGGGAGCGGGAGCTGCTGGCCAGGGAACCGCCCAGCCTCCATGCCTCTGCCCTGCTCCTTCACCAGGGCAGCCACTGCTGTCATGGCTTTGTGTGTGTAGCATGTACACGTGCATGCACCTGTGCGCACGTGTGCATGCATGCATGTTATGCGCACGCATGTGTGCATGCACCCACGCACCCATGTGCACATGTGCTATGTACACACCTGTGTGTGCTGTGACCGCTGGGGCTGGTCACAGTGGCAGGCCATCTCTGTCCTCTCTTGCAGCATACAGCTGTCCGGTCAAACCTTTTGTGGCCTGGCGTCTGCATGGAGACAGGAGCTGTCTTCTCACCTCTCAGAGACAGGTGATCTGCTCACTTCGTGACCCTGGCCCTGACATTCCTACAAGGCCTGGGCTTTGGCATTTGTTCCCCAGAACAGCTGGAAATGGGTTAACCCAGAGCAGCACCTGTAGCAGTGCCCATTTCCTGCCGGCCGCTTGGCACCCCGCTCAGGTCCCTCCTAGTCTAGGGAAGCCCGTCGGTCTCTCCTGTGGCCCCGTCTGTCACTCGGCCCTCATGACACCTGTAGTAACGCACTCCTCCATCCCCAGCTCCGGGAACTATGCACAGATTTAGAGCCAGGTTCAGCGAACTATGCCTCTGCGTTAGGTCCAGCCCACTGTCTATTTTTCTGAAGTTTGACTGGGATGCAGTACCCTCATTTATTTACACCTCACAGAAGCCTAGCCTAGGAGAGACCTTAACCTCCATCTGCTCCTGCCCAGCCGGCTTCCAGACACTTGGGCCATGGCCAAAAGGCAGCATTCAGCTGTTGTACCAGGTGTGGCAAGCAGAAAGACCAGGTAACAGGGATCTCTGTGCAGTGGCTGAACACATCTCCAGAATGTAAGAGCTAAAGTAAAATGCCAGGGTGCCAGGCCTGCTTGGAACATGGTCTCCATTTGATTGTAGATAAGAGTGTGACGCACAGATGACACTCAAGTTGCAGATGAAGCAGCGATGCTTGGGAACCCTCGGGGGAAATCTTAGTCTCCAGGCCACCGTTGCACTGCAAGAGCTTGAGAGCCCGGGACACAAGGCTGGGGGTGGGTGGGGGCCCGGACACTCTGCCAGGCCGAGCCTTCCTGAGAAGGTAAAAAGGTGGAGAAAGATAGGAAGGGAGCCAGCCAAGCTCTCTGGAAACTTGAAAGAAGGGTACATTTGTGTGATCGCATTTTAAAATGGACAGAAAGAGGTCGCTCTCACCTATAATTCCAGGTACTTGGGAGGCAGAGATGAGAGGACTGCAATCTGAGGCTAGTCTGGGCAAAAGTTAGGACCTATGTTAAAAAGCAAGGCATCATGGAGTCAGACCTCCTCACCAGAGGCTGGTGAGACCCAAAGGGTGACACGTCTGTGTTGAGCTGAAAGGTACAGGCAGGCGAAAGCAGCAGTGGACCTGGGCACCAGTGGCTCACGTCCGTAATACCAGCTACTCAAGAGGCTGAGATCTGAAGATTGCAGTTGAGAGCCAGCCCCGGGGAGGAAAGTCTGTGAGACTCTTATCTCTAATTAACCTCCAAAAAATGGGAAATGGAGCTGTGGCTCAAGTGGTAGAGCACTGACCGGCACTGAGTTCAAGCCCCCGTACTGTAAAAAGGAAAAGCAGAGCTACAGTGGATCTTCTAATTTTTGGCTCAGACCACCTTGGCACTAGGAGATGCCACCCTCTGCTCAGGTGCCATTTGAAGTGGAGCCAACCCGGGCCTTGAAGTAGCTGCTGGTGGTGCAGTCCAGGTGGGAGAGAACTGCTCGGGGGCCGCTGCAGCCCCGCTGTGGCGCTGTCCTCCGGGCCCTTCCAGATAAGTGCACACCCAGCCCTCCCTGGTGAGGGTTCCTTCCCCCGGGGTGACTGGATGGCCCCTCCATCAGGGGCGGCTGTGCTGGAGAAGACGGGGAGCTGGGATGAGGCACCTTCAGACTCCTGCTGCTATGTGATGCTCCCGGTCCTGTCTCATATTCTCATAGCCAGCCAGGGCAGTCTGCTTCCCTTCACTCAAGCTACCTACTGCTACATGGCTGGGCCCCGGCTCTGTGCCATCTTGGCCTCCTGCCCTGTGCAGCCCTGACAAGGTAGCTGTGGGCGGCCATCGTGTGTCTCAAACCCAGTACCTTGAGAGCAGTGCCTGGTTCCCCCGCCCCCCCCATCCTCCATGAGGACCATGAGCAGATGGCCCCTTTGCTTTGTGACGACGTAGCCACGGGGACGGGGGTACCTCGTCCTGTGCCAAGTTCCCCGGCTGCCCCACACTGGGCTACCGGGGGGTGTGGGTATGAGTAGCCCGCATTCCTCACTAACCTCCCCCTCGTCCTCCACCCCTGCTCACACGGCCTCCTGTTTCTCTTTCCATCCATTAGGCAATACTGAGTGCTCCACAACGCGCAAGGTCTCCTAGCAACCTTCCTGAGGAATTCTGCCTGGCCCCGATTAGAAAACTGGAGCCGAGGCCCCGAGATTGATGAGTTTGCCTTGGGAGACGGTGAGAAGGTGAAGCCGAGGTAGATATGGGTCAGAAGGTCACCGGAGGAATCAAGACAGTGGACATGCGGGACCCCACATACCGACCCCTGAAGCAGGAGCTCCAGGGGCTGGATTACTGCAAGCCCACCCGGCTAGACCTGCTGCTGGACATGCCCCCCGTGTCCTACGACGTACAGCTGCTCCACTCGTGGAACAACAACGACCGCTCGCTCAACGTCTTCGTGAAGGAGGACGACAAGCTAATCTTCCACCGGCATCCGGTGGCCCAGAGCACGGACGCTATCAGGGGCAAAGTGGGGTACACACGCGGGCTGCACGTGTGGCAGATCACGTGGGCCATGAGGCAACGAGGCACGCATGCGGTGGTGGGCGTGGCCACGGCCGATGCCCCCTTACACTCTGTGGGGTACACGACCCTTGTGGGCAATAACCATGAGTCCTGGGGCTGGGACTTGGGGCGCAACCGGCTCTACCACGATGGCAAGAATCAGCCAAGCAAAACATACCCGGCCTTCCTGGAGCCAGATGAGACGTTCATCGTGCCCGACTCCTTCCTCGTGGCCCTGGACATGGACGATGGGACCCTGAGCTTCATTGTGGATGGACAGTACATGGGCGTGGCTTTCCGTGGACTCAAAGGCAAAAAACTGTATCCTGTAGTCAGCGCTGTCTGGGGCCACTGCGAGATCCGCATGCGCTACTTGAATGGACTCGATCGTAAGTGTTCCCCGTCACGTCTAAGTCAGTACCCTCCCCACGTCTCCGGGAACTGGGCCCACCGTTTATGCAGTTGCTGGACTTACAATGTCTTTTAAGTAGATGTACCAGCATCTGCAATGGCCACTCTTTACCTTCGTCTGGTTAAATGAGGAATTCTAGCGGAAGTCTTCTGGATTTCCTGACCAGTGTCTGCTGAATTAATGGATGATGGCTGGTCGGATGAATGGGTAGAGGGATGAATGGATGGATGAAGGATTACTGTAAGCCCACCCTCCTGGGCCTGGTTCAATGAAGGGATTTTGGCTAGCTGGCTGGCTGAATAATGGATAGATGGTGGATGGAAGATGATAGATGGCTGGAAGATGATAGAATGAGAGGTTGGATGAATGAATGGATAGATTGGTAAGTGATGGATGGTTGGATGGATGAATGAATGGCTAGCTGAGTGATGGATGAGTGAATAGATAATGGTTGGATGGACAAATGGATGGATGATGGATGAATGGATAAACAATAAATGATTAGATGGATGATGAATGAACGATGGATGGAATAAGTGGTTAGGTGCATGAAGATGGATTGGTAAATGATGGTTGAATGGATGAATGAGCAGGTAGATGGGTGATGCTGGAATGAATGGATGAATGAGTGTTTGTTTCTTTCTGATTGACCCACCCCCAGCTTTGCTTGCAGTTGCCAAGTTCTAGAACAGTAGCCAGTATGGGTTTTGGGTTGGGGGGGGGGGGTTGTAGTATATTCTTCACAGCCTGGGACACTCTAGGGCCTCTCAGACAAATGAAAGCCAGTGAGCTCACTTGCTCAGATTTGGCTCTTTCCTGGGGTTGGACGTGGTCCTGGGAGGGACCTGATTAGTCACAATGGTGGGAGATTGTTGAGAGGAATCAGTGCACTCCTTAGAAACTACTGGAACATCCAGGATAGTCTACTTTTCTCTTTGGAAACCGTCCTTCCCCCTTTCTCTCCAGCCTCTGTTCAGGCTTTGTTAGGGGCTAACAGTGAGCCCACAGCTGGATGAGACATTTGCAATACAGCATATGCAGGATGCTTGGTCCTCCCTGCGTAGACAGCGCCCCAAGGAGAGGGGGCCTCTGGCAGGGGCAGCCAGGCACACACCGCGGGTAACCTCCCTGAGGAAGTCACCTCAGGCCCAGACTGAGGAACCAGCAGAGCAAGTTCTGTGAGTCCATCTCCTCAAGTGACAGAAATAAATGACATAAGTCCACAGCCAAATGTGCCCTGCGCAAGGATGGGCAGTGTTGGGTGGGGAATGGGAGGCTTGACACCTTCTACCCAGGACTGAGGAGTTCAGGGATGCCTGGCGCCAGACCCTGCCTGCAAGTGACTCAGATGTTGTCAGCCTTCGGTGTAGACAGGAGGCAGGATTGACAGGCTGACTGGCCTTGACTGGCCTAGACTAGTACTATCTGTCTGTGTGTCTGTGTCAGTCTGTTTGCCTCTATCTATCTGTCTATCTGTCTGTCCGTCTGTCTGTCTGTCTGTCTGTCTATCTATCTTCTTTGTGTGTGCTGGTCCTGGAACTTAAACTCAGGGTCTTGTGCTCTTGCTTGGATTTTTCACTCAAGGCTGGTACTCTACCACTTGAACCACACTTCCATTTCCAGCATTTTGCAAGTTAATTGGAGATAAGAGCCTTCAGTTTGTCTGCCCAGGCTGGCTTCAAACCTTGATCCTCAGATCTCAGCCTCCTGAGTAGCTATTACATGCGTGAGCACTGGTACCTGCCTATTTTGCTCCAGTACTGGGGCTGAGCCTCAGGATCCCACTTGGCCTTTTTTTGTTTTGTTTTGTTTTTCATGGATGATACTGTATAACTTGAGCCATGACCCCAGTCTGACATTTAGCTGGTTAATTGGATACAGAATCTCTCGGATTTTTCTGCCCAGACTGGCTTCCAACCTTGACTTTCAGATCTCAACTGTCTCAGTGGCTAGGATTACAGGCGTGATCCACCAGTGTCCAACTAGGAGAATGGCCCCGTGTTGTCCCTCTGGGAACGTTTGCCTGCAGCCAGGAGCGCTGCAAGTTTGCACGCCTGTTTGGTGTGTCCCAGCTCTGATATAGCCCCTGAGCGGTAGGAGGGGCCTGGGAGCTGTTTGCCCTTGGAGAGCAACCTCTCAAATAGAAATTCTGCCCACACTGTCCTAGAGGGGTAGGCCTGCGCCCGCTAGATGCTCTCTCGCTCTGCGTCCTGCCTGGAGGTTGAATGTGTTTTCCATTGTTCTTGCTTGGAAAATTCTACACGATTTGGGTGGGGGATTGTGAATGGGAAGAAGTTGTTGGAAACTGTGGCTATAAGTTGTTGGAATCTGGACAGAGACTCCAAGTGTTAGAGCATCAGGACACTCCTGGCCAGGGATGAGAACCGGCGCCCTCTCCACCTCAGTCCTAGGCTGGCTTCTCTGTTGGGCTGCTCCGCTTTCTCAGCCCTCGTCAGGCATGGCTGACAGGAGGCCACACCTGATGCCGTAGATGGCCAGGTCCAGGGATGCTGAGCGGACATTTGAGGGCCACTGCAGTATGCCTACCAGCACCGACACTTTAGTGTCCTTACTGGGGGCGGGGGTAGGCCTTAGAAGGACCCTTTGCTGATGGTAGGGCAAGAGTAGGCGCTGTGATAGTTGTCCGAGTGAGAGATAACAAGGCTTAGTCTAGGGTGACAGCCACAGAGGTGGTGGGAGGCAGCCAGGTTCTGGAAAGTGCCATCTAAGTGGATCAAGGAGACAGGAGAGGGAGTCATCGAGAGGACTGTGGGGTTGCATCTGTGTAATGGAAGGTTGGGGCTGTCTGTTGAGATGAGATGAGGAAGCCAGAGGAAGGAGCAGGTTGAAGGGTAGAAGTCCGTGGAGATGCTTGTTTGTTGTATGCACATGGGTTTGAAGGCCTGGAGTCTGGGGCACAGGGGTCAGATGCCATCTATGTACAGGTGACATATAAAACCATGACCATCGGGGCTGGGATGTGGCTCAGCAGGGGAGCGTTCACCTGGCACTTAGCTCGCATGCACAAGGTACTGGGCTCCCTTCCCAGCACCACAAGAATAACTGAATGAATGAGTGAGAGAATGGATGATAGAATAATAACATCAGAAGCTGTTGCCCTGGATGATGGGATAACCAGAATAAGGGTAGGGTCAGGTAGGGAGTAAGACCAAGCCCTGTTAGAGTTCAGGAGGCTTAAGAGGAGGCAGAGGAAAATGGCACGTGGCTGGAGGAGAGCCAGGGGAGTGGTAGTTGGTGAAGGAAGAGCTTCAAGAAGGACAAAGTAATGGCAGGTGGTGAACACTGACCGCTGCTTCGGCACGACAGCCGCCGTGGCAGCTTTAAGGGTGAGCAGCGTGACCATTACTGAATCAGGGATACTTCCTGATGTGACGTTTTCCCTTGACCTCACAGATCTGCCATTCATTCCTTTCCCCAAGCACTGGGCGCAGCACTGCAGAGCTGTTAGTCCTCGCCAGGAGTCATTTGGGTGGGATGAGGTCAATGTCTGGTGGAAGAAGAGGAAGGAGGATATGTTCTTTCTTGGGGCAACCATAACAAATGACCAAAAGCTGGCTCAAGTGGTTGAGCACCAGTCTTGAGTGAAAAAGTTAAGTGACAGAGAGCCCGGGCTGAGTTCAAGCCCTAATGCTAGAATGTATGTATGTGTGTGCGTATGTGCATGCAATCACACACACACACACACACACACACACACACACACACACACATTGGTACCTGATGGGCTAGAGGCATGGCTTAAGTGGTAGAGCACCTGCCTAGTAAATGCTGGACCCTGAGTTCAAATGCCAGTACTGCAAAACAAAACAAAACAAAACAAAACTGGACCCTGAGAGCAGTTGAGTGGCACAGAGATCCCTTCCTGAGCCTGGTCAGGATTCCATGCCGATGTGTGCCCAGCAAGAGCCGGCTCCTACATCCAGCAGGCTGACCTGCACTCAGGACACTGCTTGTCTGGATGGGACAGGAAAGAGGCCCAGAATGGTCTGGGTGCGAGTCCCAGACCAGGCTCTCCCAGCCAGGCAACTCCAGGCAAGTCATTCACACTCTTGTGAGTTTTCTCCTGTCCAATGATAGAGAGGATGATGATGGCATCTCTGATTGACTGCAGAGATGAAATAAGGCACTAATGGTTCACGCCTGTCATCCTAGCTACTCAGGAGACTGAAATCTGAGGATCGCATTTCAGGAAATTCTGAGACTCTTATCTCCAATTAACCAGTAGAAGTGGAGCTGTGGCTTATATGTAGAGCACCAGTCTTGTAAAGAAAAAGCTAAGGGGGCCCTGAGTTTAAGCCTTAGTACCGGTTCAAAAAAAGTCAGTCAATCAGAGATGGCAGAGGCTGGCCAAGCTTCCCAGCCCAGAGTGGTTTCTCTGTGTCAGCTGCCACTATCCATTTAAAGCCAAAAGAGCATCACATTCCTTAATGATCTGCTCAGCTCCGCATGAATCAAAGGTAACCTTGTGCACTTGGTGAGGGCTGTGGTTCTGGAGCCATCCTGAGCGGAGCTGACACTCTCTCCCTCTCTCCCCTGGTTTCCCCAGCGGAGCCCCTGCCGCTCATGGACCTCTGCCGACGCTCGGTGCGCCTGGCCCTGGGGAAGGAGCGCCTGGGCGCCATCCCCACACTGCCGTTGCCTGCCTCCCTCAAGGCCTACCTCCTCTACCAGTGACGCGCTCCAGGACGCCCCCTGGTGCCAGCTCACGGAGCCACCGCCACTGCACCCTGCACTTGATGCCCGCCCCAGACATGGGCAGAAGCAGCCTGCGCTTCCTACTCATCCTCCCTGCTGCCTCTGCCCTAGGACTGGTGCCAGGATGGCCAGGCCCTTCTCCTTCCCTGATGCTGGCCGGAGCAGCCCCCTGCCGAGTCACCGCCCCTCCGCCAACCAGAGGGAGAATAAACTCCTACGAAAGCCTCCATGGGCGCAGTGTGCTGTTGGGTGGGCGGGCTGCGGTGAGCACTCTGGGGAAAGGCTGGGGTCAGTCAGCCGGGGAGGGGGCTCTGAGGCAATGGGACCAGTGGGAGGTACTGGAGCTTGCCAGCAATGCCAGCAGTGGGCAGGGAGGGGGCGGGGGGGGGCAGGCCGCCCAGGTGAGGCTCAGGATGTCTGCCCCACGGACACCAAGACAGAGCCCCAAGTTGGATCTCCCCAAGGCGGTAGCACTCGGGCTTGACTCTGGCTGCTCATGCCCCATACCCTGTATTTATTCTCTTAACAATAACGAAGGCCATTTATTTATTCCATTTAGAAAGGAAAGCGTGTTCAGTCTCCTCCGCTGGTGTGTGCGCTTGCTTTTCTCCCACCTGTCGCCTCCCAGGGCTTGTGTGCCACACCTGTCCTTCCTGGGGCCGCCCGCCTGCATGGGGGCCGGTGTCTGTGTGCACATCCCTTGACCTGCTTTCCAGGGGCTGTCACTGAGCTCCCGTGCCGGCTGCAGCCCCAGGGTCTCGGGGTCGCCCCTTACCTCTGGAGGTCATGCATCCTTGCACCGGTTTGAGTTTCTTTTGTTCTTTGTGCCAGCTTTCTGTTTTTTGTTTTTTAGGGTTTGTTTGTTTGTTTGGGGTTCTTTTTTTTTTGGTGTGAGTTTAAATTTCCATCTGCTTTTCTTGCTGAGATTCCCCAGGGCGGCCTCAGAAGCTCTGTGCCCAGAATATCAGGCAGAGAAAGGAGTTGATCTCTGGGCTCCAGAAGCCACACTCAGCTTGCGCAGGGGAGACCAGAGCTGAGCCTTACAGAAACCATCACCCCAAGTGCATCCCCCGCAGAGCCTCAGGAGGGGCTGCCAGCAGGAAGGGTCCCAGCCCCCAGCAGTGCCCCCTTCCCCCGTAGCTCCCAGCTCCTGCCACTGCCCCGCCGTTTCCTTTATCTTGAAATCAACTCTCTTAGGATCTGAGGTCTGCTCATTCCTGCACAGGTACAATAGATGTCTTTATTTGTTTGAAATGTTTAATATATATGCATTTATATTTGTCCGTAAGAATTATGTTTTAAGCAGCTGCTGTAGGGTACCATTAAAATTTTTTTCTTTCTTCCAGTGAAGTATATTTTTTAAAGCACACAATTGGTGCCAAGACTGGGTGAGGAATGTATAGTACCCCTTTGTATTTGGGGATTTTGCTTCCCTTCGGGGAGGAGGCCTCACCTGTCAGACGCTTGAAGATTCATCCCATTGTTCTACTTTCAGGGTGGGTCATTTTCTAGCAAAATGTTGCACAAGGGAGGGGTTCACTTGTCTAGCCCCCTACTTGTCACTTTGACCCCGGGGGTCCTCAGCCCCCCCCCCCTTTCCTAAGCCCAGAGCCTTGTGGCATGTACAGTTTTGAAACTCCAGTTCTATTTTATGATGGTTCATAATAGTAACATAATAAAGGAAAGTTTGTTAAAATATGAAACCACTTTGGAGTCCTTTCTTTGTGCCGTAGGGGCGGGCACAGAGGCGTGGCCGGGCCCGCTCCAGTCCAGCCAGCAACACTGCCCATGGTGCCCACCAGAACCTCAGGTGGAGACGCTCCAGAAGCACCTCCTGGTTTGGGAAGTCTGTTACCCCAGCAGCCTAATGAAGATAACTCGCCGAGCCTCATAGAACATGATTCTACACACTCGAGACCATTGGTCATTGACCTCATTCAAAAATTTGTGTTGGCCTGGGTGCTGGTAGCTCACATCTGTCATCCTAGCGACTCGGAAGGCTGAGATCCTGGGATCACAGTTCAAAGTCAGTCCAGGCAGAAAAGTTCATGAAGCTCTTATCTCCAATTAGCCAGCAAAAAGATGGAAGTGAAGGTGTGGTTCAAGTGGTAAGAGCATCAGCATTGAGTGGAATAGGCCAAGTGAGAAGGTGAGGTTCTGAGTTCAAACCCCAGTACTGGCACGTGTGCTCCTGTGTGTGCACACGCATACACACATACACACACACACACACAGTGCTTGCATTGCCTTTGGCTTTTTAAGAGCAGAGCCAGGTTCAGCCCTTGCCAGAAGGAGCAGATCCCTGTTCATCTAAAGACTCCATCAGCACACGTGCAGCTGCCTATGAGAACTTGTCCTGAGACATGTCAGAATGTGGGGGTACAGTGAGAAGCACCTGTCCTGGGGACCCAAGGCTTCTAGGACCAGGGTGCTGGTGTCTCTGAGTGCCTGCCGATCAGCGTCCTCACACCCTGGTTCTGGGAGCACCCGGAGGTGTTCATTAACAGGTAGATACCAGGCCCCTGGAATCTGAGACAGACAGAATCGGCATTCTGGGGCCTGGCCCAGGGATCTCCCCACTACTGTCGGTGGCCCAGTCCCTGAGAGACTTGGACACGCCATTTGTGACTGCGCCAGCTCTTTGCCTCTCAGAGTTGCTGAGTAACGGGAATGATTTCAGTGTGGTGTAGGTCGGCCCAGACGCAAGCACATGGACTCCTGAGTCAGACCTGGGTTCAAATATTCATGCTGTGGTCTTAGACAAGCCTCTATGACACTCCGGTCATGAATGTGTCTGTGTAGTAGGAGAGTAACAAGGGGACATGAGGCTCCCAGAGCTGGGCCCCACATCTCAATAAGTAAGCGTGTCAGCAAATGTCTTGAAAACTCAGCTGAGCATGGTGGCTCCCATCTGTGATCCCAGCTAGTCAGAAGGCAGAGATTGAGAGGATCAAAGTTCAAGGTCAGCTTAGGGAAAAAAAAATATCAAGGCTTCATTTCGACAAGTAGCTACTGCTCTGGAGGCTGAGATTTGAGGGTCGAGGTTGAAAGCCAGCCAGGACAGGAAAGTCTGTGACACTCTTATCTCCAATAAATTGCCAGAAAACCGGAAGTGGCGCTGTGGCTCAAGTGGTAGAGCGCTCGCCTTGAGCTGAAGAGCTGAGGGACAGCGCCCAGGCCCAGAGTTCAAGCCTTATAACCAAAAACAACAACAAAAAAACCAAGTAGCTAGGCATAAATCTGTGGCCCTGACTATATCTGAGGATGAGGGTCAGAGGCTAGCCATCTAAAGCACAGCTAGGGTGTAAGATGTCCGATGGTGCTGAGCAGCCGTGGCTCAATACCTTTCATCCTAGCTGCTCAGGAGACTGAGATCTAAGGATCATGGTTCAAAGCCAGCCCAGGCAGAAGCATCTGTGAGACTCCCAGCAAAAAGCTGGAGTGAAGATGTGGCCCAAGTGGTAGAGCACCAGCTTTGAGCAAAAAGCCAAGCGAGAGCATGAGGCCCAGTTCAAGCCCCAGTACCAGTCTCCCAAAAGGCCGATGGTGTGGCTTAAGTGGTAGAGCACCTGACTAGTAAGCATGAGTCTCTAGGTTCAAACCCCACAACCGCCAAAAATAAAAATTAAAAAAAAAAATGGATGCACTTCTGGAAAACGGCACTTCCATGATTGGGGGTTAGTATTGGAAGGGGGAGCAAATAAAGCGGCTCCTTGATAAATGTTCTTTTCCCCCCCAGGTGGTCTCAACGATCCAGTGGGTGTTAGATGGATCCTGCCCTGGACGCAGGCGGAGGAAAAGGGTGGTCTCGAATTATTTTTAGGTTGGAGTTCATGTCTGGGTTGCAGTTGGAACTCTGGCTCCTTTGAAGGGGCGGCAGGGGAGGCTTGGGGAAAATGAGGGCCTTTGTACTGCCAGAGACTTCTAGGGGAGCAGGGTTTGTGTTGAAGGGCGCAGTATTAATAAAACCATCTGTGCAGACTTGGCGCATGTGATTGTAATTAGTCCCTGCCTTTGAGCAGGTAGCGGCCGTGGGGCTTGGCCATAGATGGGAAGAGAGCTCAGCCTCCATCCTCCTAAGCAGCCTCCCTCCTGCTCTTCGGCGGGACTTTACTGAACCATAAACTATGCTTCGGGGAGCTGGGGAGGGGGCCGAGGACAGAGCAATTAGTTCATGCTCCGATCCAGACACCCAAACATGGTTGGACTCCAGCTACAAGGAATATTTGAAATGAAGAGCTGCCCAGAGCCAGGAGTTTGCTGTGTTTTCTGGAAGGCTATGGTAACCAGGGAGGAAATCATGAGCAAATGATGTCCTGGCCGAGCGAGCAAGCCAGAGGAAGCAGCTCAGAGCTCTCCTAGGGTTTCTCGGGACTGAGAAGCTGCTAGAAGCCAGGTCTCAGTCTGCCCATCCTCCTGATCTTTGGGCCTCCAAAGTGAGATCTTCTTTTAGACTCTTTTTTTGTTGTTGTTGTTGTTTTTCATTGAATTTTTGGGAAGAAAAGAGTAAAGGAACTTTTCCCTGGACCTTTCTTCCCATGCCACAGAAAAACAGCTACTGTCTCTACTGGGCTGATCATGAGTTTCTAGGCAGAGAGAATGTAGCTACTGTCTCTACTGGGCTGATCATGAGTTTCTAGGCAGAGAGAATGTTCTCAGTAGAAAACCCAAGCCAAGGGCTGGCTGGCTGGCTGGCTGGAAAGTGGCTCTGACCTCTGACCTCTGACCTCTGGGTCTCTCTCCTGGACCTAGCCCCCTTCAAGGTCTTCTGTGTGAGACAGTGTTCCTCAGCCCCCTTCCTCCCTTCCCCAGATGGTGTCTGAGGTGGGACCTGCGTGAACCCGTTTTGCTTTATTCTTTCAGGTAGGGTCTCACACTTTTGCCTGGGGGCTGGATTCAGAGAGAGACTCTTCCATGAGCAGAGGGCCTAGGTGGAGGCTCACCTGTGGGTCACTGCTGCCCCCACATCTAAAACCACCAGAAGAACTCGGGGAGGAAGCAAAATCTCAGGAAGCCTGGTAGACCCGAAGTGGGGTCTGGGAATCTGCATCTTCCCATTGCTCTGGGGGACCCCCAAGGTTCTGGAGTTAGGTGCACCTGGGCAGACCCCTCTTTCCTTTAGAGACCTACAGGGATCTAAGGCCTGGAGAAGCTTGAAGTCTCTTGGTAAAGACACTGGAAAGGTCAGGGTGACCCATCTCAGCCAGCTAATGCCCATCACGGTCTCAGAGCTCTGGGGTGGGAGGGTCATTGTCACAATGCTGGCATCTCATAGGGCACAAAAGAGCTGGTCTTAGGAACAAACAGAGGGGGGTGGAGGGAAGGTCAAGCTGACAGATGATTGGGAAACCTCAGCCTGGGGCACTTCCCCTGAGCCTCAGTT